AGAGATTCCACCTCAACATTAGGAGGAACTTCCTGACAGTAAGGACTGGTTGAAAGTGAATCACACTCCCTTGGAGATTTTAGTGGAGTCTCCTTCTTTGGGGGTCTGTAAACAGAGGCTGGATGGCCATCTGTCGGGGAGTGCATTGATTGAGAATTCCTGCATGGCAGAATGGGGTTGGACTGGATGGCCCTTGAGGTCTCTTCCAACTCTAGGATTCTATGATTCTTTTAGTCATACTATTGGAACGGCTCCCATCCAGTCCAACCCCCAAAGAAGAAAACCCAGAGCTGAAACATCCCTGCAGACTTGAAGGGAATTCCACAATTTAAAAGAAAGTCCTCTTTTATGGAGCACTATAACAAGCCAGAACAAATCACCTTGGAATAAATGGAATCAGTGACAATCTGCAAAAACACCAACTCTAATCTGTAGCTTCTTAATTTTTTTTAAATTTCAAATTATTGGGGAGTCAACTTGGCTGCTGTGTAGGTACATTCTCTGAATTGTTCAATAAATCTGTGTCCATTTTTTTTTTTATTGGTAGCAAATCTCAATTTCTTGTAAAACGCCATCTTTAACTGCTGGTAGATGACCACTGCCAGGAACTATGTGGTGGTTTCATTGCCAATCTTCCTCAGTAAGATATTTCTCAATGTTTAACATGACAGGTTCAAACGGTGCACAAGTTCACTTCAAAGATAACACACTCCAGTATGGGATCATTTCCAAAAAGGCAGGACTCACCTGGGAGGAGCTCACCTGGATGACCATTGCATGGCAAAGAGACTGGGCAGTGATGGATCCCACATGGCCTCTTCATCTCTAGATCTTTGCTGCACTCCTCATCTGCCTTTCTACTCCAGTGGTTCTCAAACTTTGGTCCTCCAGATGTTTTGGACTTCAGCTCCTGACTTCCTGACTGTTGGCCAAGCTGGCTGGGGCTTCTGGGAATTGATGTCCAAAACACCTGAAGCACCAAAGTTTGGGAATCACTGATCTACAGGGATATGGTGAGTGGGAGAGGAACATGGCAAAGCAAAGGGGATTTGAACCCTGACCACCAGACTCATAGTCCAACACTCAAACTACTACACCACACTCCCCCTATTGGCCCACAAGTACACCACAGTCCAAGTTCTGTATTGAAGCTCTCTGGACATAGCCCAAGGAGTCTTATTCATACATGTAAAGCACCTTGGTTTACTTATGATTTTATTCTCCTGCCCCAATTAGTGTATCTGTGCGTCTAGACCAGTGGTAGGCAACCAAAGGCCCGGGGGCCAGATGTGCCCCCCCGAAGCCTTTGGACTGGCCCCAGGCCGGTCCTGCCGCCACTGCTGCCCCCCGCCGCCACCGCCCACCATGATGATATTGATTATTGTTGTTATTACTTGTTCTTGGGGTTTTCTTGGCAAAATCTCCACAGGGGGTTTGCCATGGCTTTTCTGGAGCTGAGAGAGTGTGCATGCATATTTTTTATTATTTTTTATTTTTTTAAAAAATATATATTATATTTTATTTATTTATTTATTGTGCTTCAGCCCCCCCAATTGTCTGAGGGACAGCAACCCGGCCCCTGGCTCAAAAAGGTTGCCTACCCCTGGTCTAGACCTTATGAGAGACCAGTCATTGCACTTGTCTTTGAAGGTCATGCTCCCAACTCATATCAACTGTCCTTGGATATCTGCCCAGGTGCAGATGTTTATAGCAAAGGGAGCCTGTGAAAACAAGGATTCCTCCCTAATATTCTCAGGCTTGTACTTTCCCAGCAACTAACAGCCCTTGCCAAGGTCAACTCTGTAGCTTCTTGAGCCTGGGGAGAGATTCAACACATCATCTGACTCCTCCTTGCTTCAGTCTTCTGGCTCCTTTCCTGTACAGTCATAGAATCCTAGAGTTGGAAGAGACCCCAAGGGCCATCCAGTCCAACCCCCTGCCATGCAGGAACTCAAAATCAAAGCATCCCTGACAGTGTCCTCCCCCTGTGCTACGTTCTGTGCTTCCAGATGTGGGCTGTGGACTTATTCAGTTGAGTAGGTGACAGTCCACTGGTGTAACCTGTTCACATGAGCCTAAATCCTACTCTTAGTCTTTACTAGAGTGGAGCCATTCAACCAAAGGGACTTCCCTCCATGTTGACTTATGATTCAAAAACTGATTCCATGGCTCTACTCTAGGTAGGATTCAAACCCTGCAGTTCCCCACATTGTTGGATGGCCTCTGCGTTGGTCCTCCAGCGTCTCCTACTGGGCACAGGGGCAGGTACATCATTGGTTGCACAACGTTGGCATTCAGCAGAAGGGTGGCATAGCACAACCATTATGGAACAACACAAGTGTAGAGTTATACCTCAAAAGCATGGTGTAGGATCCTGGCCCTAGGGGTAAAGAATAGATAAGGGCAGTGAGAGAGATCCAGAGATCAAACCCCCATGCTGCTGCATTTGCCCTACCTCACAAGATAGTTGTAGGGGAGGGAATGGAGGAAAGAGCATGGGGTCTACATGAGCACAGATTTACAGTGGACAAAATTGTGTAGGATCTCAGCACTATCAACCCCTCTGATCATCAGGATTTGGGCAGTTTGAGGCCAGAAAATGGCATTTTGGGGGAAGACTGGGGGTGCATCTACACTGCAAAAAATAATGCAGTTTGACACCACTTTAACTGCCATAGTTATCCTACAGAATCCTACAGAATCCTGGGATCTCCTAGCTAAGGCTAGGGGCCTGAAGGAGCTATGCAGAGTGGTCTTCTGCTTTGGTCAGGCCTCACCTGGAATATTGTGTCCAGTTTTGGGCAACACAATTCGAGAAAGATGTGGACAAGCTGGAGCATGTCCAGAGGAGGGTGAACAAAATGGTGAAAGGTCTGAAAACCATGCCCTATGAGGAATCCTTTAGGGAGATGGATATGTTTAGCCTGGAATAGATTGTTAAGAGGTGATATGATAGCCTTGTTTAAATATTTGAAGGGATCATGCAGGGGTAGCTGTGTTGGCCATTTAGCAAATTCAAATAAAAATCCACCAAACAGTGGTACCTTTATTGGCCAACCCAAATGCACAAGATACTTGTTGCAAGTTTCAAAGCTCCACTGGCTTCTTCTTCATCAGGCAAGATGTTACAAAC